GCTTCAGCTGCTTGAAACGATCACGAAAACATGGCTCATCCTCAATTGAAAGTTTCCCTTGTTTTTTGAGTTCCTGTAACATTTGCTCCGCAGCAAAATTCAGGTATGCTTTTTTGTCTACGTGGTCGTCTATATCACACTGCAAGGGATTTACATTATATGTAGGTAATATAATCTTTCGCGCAATTGAAAGTGTTAAAGTCTTTAAAACTGTCAACACTTTAGTTGGATCAATTGTATGAGATTTAAAGATCTTGTTCACTCTCTAGACTTCTGACAAAATCGGATTTATTGCCAGCAGATAAGCAAGGTTCAACTCATTTTGGTACAGGCTATACAAAGTTTTAGCAGCGAAACATTTATCTCTGCTTCGTGCCATACCAAAATGAGTTTTTAACTCTATCCATTGATCCGATACTTACTTAACGACTCGTTCTATCGAAAGCCACCTTGTGCCAGATATTTGTCGAATTAAATATTCCAAGTGGCGTGGCAACGTATCAGACACAGCGTGAGACACCGCAAATTGTAATGAGTGACAAATACATCGAATTAAAATTAAGTCCGAGACAATTTCTTTCAATTTCGCATAAACTCCATTGTTAACTCCTACCATTACACTCGCATTATCGGTGCCTATACCTCTTAATATCTAAACCCATCAACTCTAGCGTCTGTTTAACAGTCTCAACGATAGCATTTGCATAGCATTCTAAACGCTTTGCAAGTTTTAAAAATGTGGACATTATTTTGCCGTGTTTTTCACTAAAATAATTGATTGACATTCCGAGCAACTCCTCGCGGAAGTAATATCGTTCGATTCATCTAAAAGTAGACTAAACGGCCGATTCCCAATATAAGCTAGCAATTCTTGTTCAAAGTGATGATTAAGAACATTTTTTATAACAGCTGCACATTTTGTGCGATACATTTGAACATTCGATGTAGTTTTACTATCACAAATAACGTCTTTATAAGCATATAACGTTTTATTTAAATATTTGTTAAATCGCAAGTGCAGAATGAGTTGCAAGGAACAATGCAGAAGCTGCCTCCAGTTTCACGGTATGGGTATTTTTTGTCGAAAAGGGTTAGAGAGAAAATGGTAGCCTTTGCGATGAAAATGGTTCACTTGCAGTGACATGCTTTTTTGATTATGCATCAACATGATTTGATAATATTTTAGTTCATTTCAATAAATCGATCATTTTGAAATCATAAAATCAACTATTTTCACGCAGAAAAACGATTTGTTAAATTGATAAACAAATTTTGTTAAATAAGTTTTGTCAAATTCTGTACATTGTTTGTTAATTCAACCAAAATATTTTGTTAAACTAACAAAATAAGGTTAAAAGATGTTTTTAATCGAATTAATCTAATGTTTACAATGGTTCGACCAAATGGTTACATTGAATAACATTTGGTTTTGTTGACTTTTTTTGACAAAAAAATGTTGTGAATCAAAAAAACATTTATGATGAAGGTATATTTTTATGATTTAACAAAACAGTTTTGACGCTTAAATAAAAATAAAATTATTTCGTTGAATCAACAAACTTCTCTTTGTGTATTTTTGTAAACATATCCGTGTCCGTTAAAATAATTACCTTCAACGAGCTTTTTGAAGATTATTTGCAATCTCCATAATCCAGTCCTTTAAAATATTTGCTGTTAGCCATTGTTTACGGAAGGTTTGTTGAAAATTTTGTCCCTTTTCTTTTGGCTTTATTAATTAACCGTTTATTTGTATCAATATAATAACACGAACTGCGTTGACCGACGCGTAACAGTTTTAGCTTACGAAATTGTACCGAAAATTCTGACAGTTTCCTTCAAAGGAATACTTAACAATGAAGTTAAAATAAATGTGGGTGGGGGTTAACATTTAAATTATTTAAATGTAGAGAAAAGTTGTGCGTTTGTTGTTAAAGTGTCACGCGCATATGTTTTCTGTAGAGCCTAAGTGTCCTAAGTTTGGTACATAAAGGGTTATAAAATCTTAGTCGCATGTGTCCTCTTACCATTTCAGAGAAAGTCACTGTAAAATTCGATAGTTTGTATCTGTATTTTTGATAATAAATTTAATAATTTTTAATTAACATTATCGCTACATCATCCCCTGCATGAATTTTACTAATATGTTTTTAGTGGAATTTTAACGGTATTACACTGATTCCTCATTTTCAATTCGTCAATTAATTAGTCCATCGGATGACGTTTTCAGAAATATTATTTGAAAATGCAAAAAATAAAGAATTTTAAATTAATTTTAATTTTGTTTCTTTTTTCATTTGCAATAGAAATACTGTAAAAATAATATTAAATTGAATTGAATTTGATTTTCAACTGAATTAATGTAAAAATTAAAAGCAAAATCGTAAAAAAAGAAATGTTATTTCCCTCCTGTTAAAACTTCTTGAATGCTTTTAAACGTAAAAAAATGTAACGAAATTAATGCCGTATTCAGTTAGCATCCAAAAAAATATCAATAAAGGATGCACTTACGTGAACTGAATTGTCTGTCCTTTATTAATATATTCTCTGAATGCTAATCAAATACGCCATAAGGGCCAGCACACGTACTCACGACTACGACTAAGGATAAGCAACTGTCTTTTTTTATCCCGCTAGAAGCGCCGGATAGAAAAGGATAATGCTAGAAAAGGACAAATGCTTATGAATGCATGAAATAGATAAGGACAATTGCTTATTCTTGGTCATAGCCGTCGTTATTGGCATATTCGAGCATCAATATTTTAAACTAATAATACAGGACGCACTTATGTGGACTGAATTGTCTGTCTCTTATTATTATTTTAAAATGTTTCTGTTCGAACACTCTATATATGTCCAGGCCTTAAGGCTAAATGCACCGAAAAATACTTGTAGGAAAATTCAATAGATCGCAGCAACCTATCAACCGGGGAATTTACTTTACGCGATAAGCGCTGACCAATGATCCGATTTTCGATCTGCAAACGGCATTTGACGCTTTTTTTAAATAGAAATTCACGCTACGAGGCCCTCTTTTTCCAAAAATCTAGCAAAATGTCAAATTTGAAATTAGTTCTCGCAAACTCCGAGAAAAAATTAAAAAATATGGGCTTAATATGCGCGATGGGAATGCTTGCTGAATCCAAACGCCGTGACATCATGCAATCGAATTGAAATAGAAGCGTCGTAAAGTCGAAATTTACGAAAATCGCTCGCTCCCCCCCCCTCCCTTCACCGCGTTGCGTCACCCCCGATATGTGGGCCTCCGTCGCGCGACGGCACGGCCAGGCCAGGCCAGGCCGGCGTGCGGCCAGCCCGGCCGGAGCAGGCGGGATCTTTGCGGATATCCGAGCCAGACGGTCCCGGTTTATGCTTTCGTCACTCTTGCCATCTGCAATCTACTTTCCACAGATACCAAACTGAGAGGATGCTATACTGCTATAACAACCGACGTAAACGGTCTGTAATAGCAGTACAATAACTAATCTTTTTCACATATTTCCGTCTCCTTTGAATACCATATCTAAAAATTGTTTGAGACATTATCAAAATATCGATTCCTATTTGGAATCGGTTTTTAAAACAATTGAACTAATTCTGTAATATGCACCAATTTAGTCACTCTCATCATCTTATTTTAGATATATTTTACTTCTAAGTTATTCCGTTTTCATTCCCACTTTACTCTATGATCTTCCGTTGTCACCATACCGGACAAGAATGAGCGGAGTATACGCACGAGCTCTTTTATCCTGACAACTCGATTTTTCGATCTTTCAAAACGGCGTTTCTATGCTGCTTACGGAGATTATCTGGTGAATCTCTTCCATAAAAATACCGGAACTATTTTTTAAAAAATTGTTTTCGTACTTCGACAAATTTTAAAAAGATGGTAAAATTAGCCGCTGGCGGAGCTGCATCCTGATCCCCAACTCCGTAACAACACATGAAATACAGATTGAATCATCCCAAGCTTACTTGGTAAAGCTTATATTGAATATAAAATACAATGTTATATCTTATAATTTGAAGGGAATAAAAATAATTCCGGTGCGTCGATGTCGTACAGACACGTAAATGAATAAAGAGTATGATGCAATTCGATAACTCTAAATCTTTGGAGCATGTTTTTCGCCTTCAATTTTCTTTGTTTTAAAAAAAAGTGATTTATGAAATCGGCCACAATGCATATACAAAATAGGAACATCAAAACAGGCTTAAAAAACCAACGAATTTGTTCTGTCGAAGTATGATAGGTAGAAAAATTACTTTTTTAAAAAACCGCGTGCTGAAAACGCTTACGCGACATAATATGGTAATATATAATACAACTTTCCAGAAAAGATAGAAAAATGAGGCTTTTTCAATGTGAATTGTTCTGAAAATTTTCAGAAGTATACGTTATGATATTGGACTCTGTTGTACATCTCATCATCATAATCCAAAATAATAATAATAATAATAATAATAATAAATAATAATACTAATAATAAATATAATAGGCACGCGTTTGGAGTAAAAAATGTGTACGATAGTTTTGCTTAATCGTCCATTGAATCCTTCACTTCGATTCTGAGATTCCACGATTATAATAATTTTGAAACTTCTTTATATTTAAGCGGAGAAAATATTTCTGCTCACACTATGAAGTGAGTTAGTTCGCCATGATTTTCTTCCCCCTGTTCCTTTGAAAAAGTTCGATTGGAATATTAGCTATAGCCGGCACCTCCATTTGTCAGTTTTTTTGTCGCCCAATGCTTTCTTCTATCTCTGTTCTTCGTACTCTACTCTGTAAGTCCTCTCAGTAACTTTTCGTGTATTCGCAACCCCCCCCCCCAAAGAAAAAAATAACGGAAACGCGGTCATCGCCGGGTTATGCTTAATGCACTTATTATTATTATTATTATTATTACTTATTATTACTTTTATTATTAATTATTATTATTATTATTATTGATTATATTGGCGTGTGGATTACTTGAACCACGCTACATCGAAGTAACATGTCTGTTATTATTCCGAATCCAGATTATTCTCCTGGTATCTGTCAGTATGGACAAGGTCTGTTAGCTTGAATTGTGAATATGAGATGATCAGGATGATGATGGTTGCAAGCGGGTGATAGGACAATTAACTAAATAAAATATGACCAAAGGTTGTAAAAGCTGATATGATGTTTTCTCATGGAATTGCGCCAGTCCGCTTAAGAATCGTGTCGAAAACTTTCCCACTCGCAAAATTAAAATGGCCACTTTTACGTACTCTATAACATGTGCATCTATTCAAGCCGTTCCGTATGTATTATCCAAGTCTAGTGATATGTAGGCGAGCTTATCACATTCCTGGGACAATACAATGCTTTATTAATTGTGGGAACACAGAGGTACACAGGTCCTCTGATTATGTAATTGAATTGTTTTATATTTGCTATGAATATCTGCAAAGTATTATTGTAGTAAACTCTAGAAATAAATCCTATTATGTACCGACGCTAAAGGCACCATGTATAACGTATAAATAAATTAGTGCTTGCAAGCAACAAAAATGCTACTGATGAAACATACAAAGGTATTACCACATATAGAACCGAACACTACTCAATAACAAATAAATACTTGATCACTTTTGTCAAATATAAATGTATTATTTTAAATCGAAAACAGTCTTGATGAATACTACCAAACCAAAGTATAGTATGGTACATACAGTTGAAACTTGTTATTTCACATAGAAGAAACACAAAAAAAGTAAATAAAAATGCATGTCCCATAACGTGAGTCCAAGAATTGGCTTTAGTGCTACATCTTCCTTGACCGTATGTTGCATGTCGTCTGCTGTATTGTCAGGCCTGCTCTCGGGTCAATTATTAAGACAGATACAATGTGCAATACATTTACTTTTAAGTGAAAATTCGAAACAGATAATTGTTTTGAATTTTTCCCGAGTTCACAGGATATGCTTAACCATTGTCTATCCTCTCAAAGACCCGAGACTGCCACAGTTTTCTTCGATTCTTAACTGCGCTGTGGAAAATGGTACTATCATTACCGAAACGTTTTTTTATAGGAATCATGTACGAACGACTTATGTCGTTTGCGTTCATATTCACGATCAGGTGAATATTCTATACACTTCAGATTTGAACTTAAACAACTCACTGTTTGTTTAGCTTTTATCGCAGCTGTAATCTCATTGCTTGCGTGAGCTGGGTGAAACGGACGACTGCTTTCGATATAATCGATTGGCAAATCTCTCAACCAACGTCATAATTCGAACAAATGGCTGCAGCATAAGCATTCTCCTTTAATTAGTATCAAAATGTAATTTTTTATTCTTAAAATAGGTTACTAAGCCAACAAGTTAAAACGCTACTAGGTTTCACTGTCACGAAATTTGGTGTTGTACGAGAGCTTTTTGTTCTGATAGCCAAAATACCTTATTGGTCGATATACATAATACACTTACACCAAGAGTCACTTCAATTGAACGAAAAGACACTAGCAGTTTCCTAAGGATTAATGAACTTCCTCATAGGCTCTTTCCGAGCGCAATAGTAAAATTTAATGCATTTTATAATATCACTCATAGATCTTCGGTCATTCGAGGATCCAAAATTTTCGCTAGGTAGGAGCACTTCTTTGTAGGAACACAAGTTTCTGTATCATTTTTTCTCCAGACATTCGTCATCCGCGGTGAATATATGTTCCAATGATGCACTGTCCTTGGGGTACATACAACGCAAATGGCAACTTCTCTCTTTCCCTCGAGAGTTTGAAGCTGGCCCTGAAATTTGATTTAATAAAATCGCTTCTTTTTCAATTTCAATGACTTTTTGTCAATGCAGAAATTTTTGATATGTTATTGCCATGCCTCCTATATTGACATGTTTTTGCTGATTTGGGACATTTTATTTCTAATATGACATCTCTCCGACAAACCGTCAGGAAGCTCCAAGAAAACCCATGATTCGGTGTACAAGAGACCGCCATTTGTCCACAATTAGACCTGTTTTTTTATTAAAAAAACAATCAATAGCGCTTGATTCATTCCGCTTCCGGTAGCATCATGGCACTTGACCGGGAAGTCAGCCATACAGCAGTTTATTGGCGACAGGAGCCCACTTATTAGACTGCCTCTTACAAACAATTCAAAATTGGACTGCGGTGAGCCGTTTTCTTTCGACATGTGCCCACCTCTCAGATTCTGCAATGCACTCTTGTTTGCGCTATTTCAGCTCCACTATTTCCTCTTTATTAAGTGACATTGCAAAGATCTTCTTCTCTTTCATGTTGTCAGTTCGCTTATCCTCCATGTCCAGCCTGAAACTAGCACAACACCGTAGTCAGCTAAACCTCTGGCTATCTTTATGAGATCGCTGCCCCAGCAATCTTACTTTCCTCCCATTCTTTTCCCTCTTAGCCGGTGCCTTTGAAGAGCGACTTTCTGCAACTGCTCTCGTTTCTCCTTCTCTCGCCTGTTTGCTTTACAATAGAACAGGACTCATTCGATCATCAGATTCATTGTCTCATAGTGCCAATACGATTCAACTGAAAGTCTTACAACCGCAGCTTTTGTTCTGGTGGTAAAAGAACCACGGTTTGCCTCTGTTAATTTGTTTTCCCCCAGTAAATTTTGCCACTAAAGACATGGTAAATATTCGCAGCGGTTTGCTAGTGCTGTTGGTGATAAGTACTGACTTTTCAAATACAACTGGCTGCAATGAAACTCGTGCTTTGTCGCAGAATTTCCCTTCTCTTCTTTGGGCAGTCGATAAGACTCCACCTAATTTTGGGAAGCGCAAAAAAATATGGCTTGCAGAATCTGTGCATGCCAAAAAGTTGTAGCATAAAAGAGCTCGTCGCGTATACTTCCGCTCATTTTCCGGAATGTGACAATGGAAGATCTAGAGTAAGGTGGAATGAAAACGGAAATAACTTAGAAGTAAATTCTTGTTCTAAAAAATAAGCATGTGAGAAGATGGACGTAATGGTGAATTTACAGAATTAGTTCAATTGTTAAAAACCAGTTACAAACTAGGAATCGATATTTTGACGTAAATCGTCTCAAAACCAATTTTAGATATGGTATTCCAAAGGAAGATCGGAAATGATGTGAAATAGATAGTTATGTACTATATTACAGACCGTTTACGTCGGTCGTAATAGCCGTATAGCATCTCTAGTTGGTATCTGTGGAAAAGTAGATTGAGATGCAAAGTGACGAAAGCATAAACGACAGTCTGCTCGCGTATCCCGCAAGTCCGCGCGCTGCTCCGCCGGAGCTGGCCGCACGCGCGCCCTGGGCCTGGCCTAGTCGTGCCCCCGCGCGACTAGAGGGCCGACAAAATGCGGGTGGGTGACGCATACGGGAAGACGGGGGGGGGGGTGAGCGAGGCGTTGTCGTGAAATTTCATCCTTAGCGGACGCTCCATTCATCTCGATTTGCATGATTGTCCCCGGCGTTGGATTCAGCAAGCATGTCGCCATCGCGCTATAAGCCCACATTTTTTTTAATTTTCTCGAAGTTCGCAGACTAATTTCCAATTTGAATTTTTCTAAGAATTTGGGCAAAAACGGGCATCGTAGCGTGAATTCTATTTAAAAGCGTCCAAATGCCGTTTACAGACTCGAAAATGCGGACCCAATTGGTTCAGACCGTTAATCGTCAAGTAAATTCTTACTTATTTGTGCTGCCACGTGGTGTCCACAATTGTATCTAGTGTCGGTACATTTAGCTTAATAGTGAAGATTTGTAAAATCTCGCTTATTTTCCACCGTCTTTATTAATTTCCGCCGTTTATTCCGCTGTCCGCGAAACTAATGTTTTCCGCCGTACGAGTTCAAAATCCGCTGAAAACGGCGGGAATTCCGCCGATGTGGCAACACTGCTCTACGGCATATTACTTGCTTCATGATTCCGCATTGTTGGGCGAAAGTGGCATTTCCATATCATACAGCATTTAGAAGTTATGGGAGTGGAGTCGATGGGAAGACCTCCATTACACTAAATCTTTAGCTTCATTGTTGAAGAGAACACGAACAAAAATCCCACAAACAACTCACTCTACTTTCTCACAACGTTATGTGATGAGGTGAATTTGCCTGGCCGGGACGCCTTCAGCGCGCGCCCTCTTGTGCGCATGCGCGGCAGACCCAGCCGGTGTCCATCTATTGTCCAGCTATTGGCTCAGCTACCGACCCTGCTAAAGGCCCATTCACAATACAAACGTAAATATAAGCATAGCGCATGGACATAAATATTAACATAAGAGATAGGCTGAAGTATTCACAATGTCTAACATAAACGTAAGCAAAATAAGAGTTTCTATTGGCAGTGAGACATTCTGGTTTAGTATTGGTTGGATATGAGAATCGATTTCAAGGTATCGACTGTGTCCATAATCAAAATGGCGTTAGTTCTTCTCAAAGACATTGGAAATACAATTGTGGTTCTTCTAACGACTTCGCTCCAATTTCGGTTCTAGATTTTAAGTTACCGTTCATCTCTTATGTCTTACTTGAGCATAAGCACAGAAGCTTGCAAGCTTTTAAGTTAACATCTTACGTGTTATGCTTATGCGAACGCATTGTGAATGAGTCCGCTTATGGACATAATCCTAACTTTTATGTTTATGTTTGCATTGTAAATGGGCCTTAATATTTTCTCGTTCGTCAGCGGGGGAAAAGGAGTCGAAAACATTTAATTTTCTTAAACGATTCAATTTTTAAAAAAAATATTGAAAATTAGCACACCAAACGACAGATTTTGTAGAAAAATAATTCGGGTACTCTAAGACTCCCAGATTACCCTTTAGCTTCGCCACTGGTTATAAGGCGGAGAGGGGACATAATTGGGAGGTGAACTGTATATTACTCGCGCAAGTTTTCTTGATACACGAGATCTCTAGACCTCACCCAGCGCTGAATAGCACGGCACGTTGAGATACTTAGGTTCAACTCGGAACGGCACGTACCATTTTACAATACTGGCAATAACCACCTCATACTTTCAAAACAATCGTAGCATTTCTCGTGGCACGCTTTGGCGAGTTAAGTTCATGTACACAGTTGGTACACCCTTTTAAGCCGTGACGTAGCCAGAGCCTTGATCCTCCGCACCCCCTGATGTGTAATATCAAGAAAACTTGAGCGTATAATACTTAATACATCTTTTTACTTTCTCGCACTTACTAACGTAAGAAGAGAAAGTATTGTAATCGTGTGCCGGAAAATGGCGAATTTTCGACACAAAAACTCTTATTGCCGGACCCTGGTAAGGAAAAAGTGGATAAATCTAGTTGCTAAATATAGAAAAAAATCCTCTAACTCGTGGTATCAATGTTTCCATGTATCCATGTTTTCTGCGTCCTTCATACCGAAAAATCTATGAACGGCAAAACGTCTGTCTGTCTATCGGTCTGTCGGTCTGTCCGTCCGTCCGTGCACAACGCTAGCGCACCGGCTAACCGTTAGCCGATTTTCTCCAAAACTGATATTCCTCAATCGTTCTGATGTCGCGGACTCTGGAATTTGAAACCGATATTATAATTTTGGGGATTACTTTACACGAAACCTCTGGGACATTTTCAAAGTTTCCAAAACAACAAAAAATGACTCCAAATTTTTTAACTAAATTTTGTTGTTGAATAGTGCAGGTATCATTATCGTTGACATCCCCGATTTTTCGAAAATTGGGGGAAAAAATTTAAAGCTTCAAAATTGGAGATAAGTGCTTTTTGTCTCACACAAAGTCTGTTGTACAAAATTAGCTCGTCAAAAAAGGTCATGTACAATTTTTTGAAGGAAACTAACGAGAAGATTTGCGTAATTTCTGCTTGAAATTAATGAAATACATACAGGTTTCTACAGACCACCTTTCATGTATGGCAAAAATGACGATTTTAGGAAGAATTGTTAAGAAAATGTGTGCCCATTGCCAGCGCTCATCGACTGAGATGTGTTGATATAGACAGAATTGCGGTATAATATTATTATTTAACTGTTTCTAAGGGGCGAGAAAGTATGTGCTGCTTAGCATCACTAGTTTGTCCATGGTAGGCGAAGCAGACTAGTATGTTATCCACACGAACAGGACATCACTGATATATATTCAACGACAATATTATGCTGCCTTCATTATCTTTCAACATATCTCATATCTTTAAATTTCTGGTCCATTTTCCATTCGGAGAGAGGTGCAGTTGTTTGGTGTTTCTTAATTTTCTATATAAATACGTTTTTGTTATTTAGGTCGGTTTACATGCGCTTAGCTCCTTAGCAATCAATCATCTAAACAACGCATTAAAAGCTCGTCCAAACGGACATTAAAATGATCAAATCTCCATTAAAAATATTTTAGCGGACTTTTGGCTTTAGATTATACCTGTGCTCATAACTTTTTATAACAAATACCAAAAAAAAATCATTGTAAGTAAGACATCCTCTATTACTATTTCAGAACCAATTTAGAGGACTTGTAGCGTAAATAACTATAACATGAAAAAACTCCAGGAAAAAATGGTGTACAACAAAGAGCATTTTCTCTAATTCCAAAACTAATTAGTAATTTTGCTTCTATAATTTTCATAGGTATTACAATTTAAAGTGTATAAACTATGTAAAATGAATGAAAAAGCTTAATTGAAATTTTCAAAGACAAAAGTGTTATTTTTTTAAAAATATGAATGGATTTTATTTTTGTGCTCATAGCTAACTCTTCTTTGTGCAACACACTGCAGGTGGTTCTGTCATCACCCGTTCATTTGTGCATGTTGTAACTTCATTTTATTTTTGTCTATTTGCAGGTGTGCAACTATTCTATTCACATCCTGCACTGACACAAGCCTTCACTTCTCACATCTACTCTCAAAATTTGGAAGATGTTGGAAAACAGGTCTGATAATTTATTTCTAACAACTAAATTGTCTATCTATGTATGAGTACCTCAATTGGTATCTGTATTTTTGTTGCTGTTTTATGAACAGTTTATTACATTTGTGCGTTTCAGGGAAATGTACTATACGAAGATGAATTACAAAGTGGAAATAATAAAGTTCTTAATCACCATAGGAACAAAAGAGAAAATACAAATAGTACAAACTCTCAAACAGATGTTCAGTTATCTCCTGTGAGAGATGATAGTGACATGGAAATGGAAGTGACATCAGAAGAAATCAACAATACTCCTTCACCCACTTCAACAAATGAAGATAATCAGGAAGATATTACTGGCATGAGTCAACATTTTTTCCCTTCATTTGCTCCTTTATTCCCCCCACCTCCTCCTCCTCTTGGTCATTCCCGGCCTCTTTTATTTCAAGAACAAGCACACAGTCACCGTCCACCAATTCTTCGACCTCAACATAATGTGTTCCAGCCTATAGGATTTGGAGGACCTTTCAGGGAAAATAAATATGTGCAAGCACCAGCAGCTACACAAAACACCAAGAGTAATGGTATTTTAGGATCTGGCAATTTTGGTGTCATAAGGGGAGGTACATTTTATGATGATGAAAGAGGTGAAGTCAATGAATATGGAAGTGGTGAGAATCACAATGTATACAGTCCATTTTACCACAATGGGCATGGTAGGCCTGCTTTCTATAATGGAGCAAGCAATCCTAGACCACAACATCATCGTGGAAATGACTTTTTTGCTAATTTTCGTGATTTTGCTGATATTAATACTCCTACAAAATCTTCTTATTCTGAGTTTTATGTAGTTTACGTCAACAGAAATGCCACCAATCCAAATACACATAACAACCATGTGACAGAAAGAGCAAAACCCAAAAATATAAACGAACAATTGACAATTATTGACCAAGAAAAACACACAGTACCTATAGAGTCTAATTCTGCTTCAACAGCCACTGAGGAAAAAATATTAAAGAAGCTTTCAGTAGGCAAGAGAAAGCTAATTCAACTTCAGAAAGGAAAACTCAAAAAACAAAAAAATAAAATACCCACTTCTGCACTGAAAGACTTGCATGAACCACTCATAGCACTTAGCTGAAATCATTTTCTAACAATAAATGATATAAATGTTAAAAATAAGTCTGTATTTCCCTTGCCTAATGTATTTACAATGGTGTAAAAAACATATTTTGCTCCTTTCTGTTGAGAAGAGCTCGTAAACACATATCATAATGATATTACCTAAACAGCTGAAAAGCGTTAAAAATAACAAAAGCAGAATTGGTTCGTTTTTGTCAATACTGATGAAAGAATAGGCTTTGTACCTGAATATTAACAGAACTATTATGGAGAGACATAGTCTTTATTCATATGAAGTACAAGTATGTATTCATGTGCTGTTCCTGAAACAAGTGATTTGATTTGTGAGTAACAGTACATTTTAATCTAACAACAGCATACATGAATTCCATTAAATCTTCTTTATCTTAGAAGAATGTGAACCTTAAGGAATTCAGCAATTATCAAAGGAACAGAAAAATAAGTGAACAAATAAGAGCGAAAATAATAATAAAACACTTTCTGTAAATATGCATGCTAAATATAAAAATAAAGATTTCATGGTATAAGATCAAAATCTTCATGTGTGCATTATGCCACCCAAATACAATTAAATCGTCAATAACAGAAACAGAAAATAATTACTGGCAGAGCATCAGGATCCAACTAACTTTTCAAGTTTGTGATAGTTTGATAAAGTAACAATAGGAAAGATAACAGAGATGTTAGCAAATTTCAATCATTTTTAATTTAAAAGCTTGACTACTCAAAATATATTTCCACAAATTTTTAATTAAAAATGTGTACTACTGAAAACAATCAGCACTTGATGGTTCAATGTTTCCTCAATGCTTTGCAGTTAATTCTACATGTGAAAACAGATATTAGGAACATGTATTTATAAATTAACAGCAATTATAAGATCTAACCAAACAAATTTAAAATTAAACATCAGCAAAATTATACATAAACTGATTCGTTAAATAAGTCTAGATCTTTCATCTTCCTTCAAATCATGCAGTAAAGAAGCACATGCTACTGTCACGTAAATAGAATGTGAAAGTAATATCTAAGTCTGCTGGCACACATAAAATTGAATTACTGCTTCAATATCCATGTCTACAATGAAACATGGAATTTTAAGATCACACTTTCCAAATAATTAAAAGGTATTAAGTAACAATAATTAAACAAGTGTTTTTCACTAAGAAGCATATTATTGTCATGCCTGCAAAAACACGAAATTTTATATTCATGTCATTGGCATCCTGGCTTTTTTTCTTTTTCCCCCCAAAAAAAGTACAACTTTATTATTTATATATTGTTAGTGTGCAGCCACTAATGTAACACTGAAGTCTTGTCATCTTGGTTGAAACTACATCTCTTTGACATTCTAAAGTATATTCAATGTTCTGTTAGAAATTTGTTTTTCTGAAATATAAGGAGTTTTTCTGGTTTATTAAGTTTATTAAAATCTCACCAAAACACTTGCAATTGCTGTTGTCAAACTTATTTAGGTATCAAAATGACAACAAGACATTGCTGTAATTTATTTGATAATATTAGTTACATTTGTCAAGCTCTATTTGTGAGGAAACACTTACAAATGATTCAACATTAAGCAAAAACTTCCTGTTTCAGGAGTCCAACGTTATGATTGGAATATGATATGATCGTAACTCACAAATCACAATACATATTGCTACTATTGTTTGGGTAAAATATCAAGGTACACTAAAATCAAATATAAAACAATTGTTAATCTTAGTGTTCAATCAGTGTGAGGCCCTAAACCCCCCTCCCTCTGAAGGTATACAGAAAACTAAAAGACAGTGGTGACTAAGAATAAATCATAGAATTTTAATCAATTCGCTTCTAGAGGTAGTTCTACAGTTGTGGATTCCCACTATTACAACTCTCCTTCATTAGAAAAATATACACTGCCATTTAGAAACACAAATAAAAAAAGATAATAGTTCCAATCAGTCTATTGCAATAATTGCATAATAAACATCAATCAATGCATAAAACAGTTCAATTATATTACACAGTTAACTTGGAAGTTTAAATGACCACTGAGATATAATTACTATCATATTAAAAACATACCACGAGGTATAAAATCATTACAAATTAAACAATTATCGAATAAACAAAATTAAAAATTACAAATATACCACAAATTGAAAGATTTACTATGAAAATTCATAAGTTTGCGAATGAGGAGGGGAATAAACTTCCACTGTGCCTGAACTAGCTTCTTTATTGTTGCTACCAACAGACGTTCAAATAAAACTATTTAAGCACAAGAATGAGCACTATAATAATCTCAAATTACCACATAGGCTGATGTGACTAATTTGTGTGTGTGTGTGTGTAATTTGAAACATTCACAGAACAAGAAGTTACCAAGTAATGTCCCTCTTTTGAAAACTTGTAAAAATATATACCCTGGTGTATGACAAATGCAAACAGACAATTGAAGCATTAACTTTGAGAGAAATCCTGAGACGAGAGCGACATATTATTATGTTTTAAATTAGCATACCCAAGTATGAATAAAAAAGATGAATTCAAAAAAAATTTCCATTCATTTTGCGAGCCTGTTTTCATTATGCAGAGACTTATCTAATCAGCGAAGTTGTTTTAGAAATAGAAAATATTACAGTTGAACCTCCATTATCTGACTTATAAAATTAAATTTATACACATGTTTTTGTCATTACATGAACATTTGAATATTTTTCTTTTACATGGAGAACTCATAATTGATTTATCTTCATCAAATGAAACAGATAATTTATAAGATTACATTGTATTTTTCAAAGAAGGACAAAAATATTATATAGTCTGAAGCCCTGGACAAACCAGATGTTCCTGTTATGTATTTTCTCAACATCTCTCAGATTTTCTTGTACTAAATTACTTCATCACCATATTCTTAACATAAACATATAACACACAAGAAAAAATTAAGAGTAGCAAAAATAAATGTATACAAATGTATCCAACAATTTGTTTTCAAAAAATAAGCCTCTGCAAAATGGTCTCTTCCCTTTTCTCTACAATGATTTTGAACTCATTAAAATACTTAAAATCAATTCACAATCCCAAAACAAAAATCAATAAGAAAACAATCATACTACCAGAATACATTTATTTAAAGAGAGGCATATGGGATATTATAAAATAAATGGCAAAGCAGAAGTCTAAAACATTGGTTGAAAAGTTGTATTCTGTAGAGAAAAGAATTTCAAACCCAACACAATTTCTTAAGTTTTCATTCCACTAACACAGAATATTATTCAAACAATATTCTTATAATTGAAACTTTATATTAAACAATACCCACATACATTACAAAAATCTAAGAAATTGGTATAGAGTAAGCACGATGAAGTATGTAATGATATGTATTATAGTGCAATGAAAATAATTTTTTGAATTCTAAATAATGTATTATTTTTGTAACAAAACAATCTCATACTGAGATGGATGCAGACCAATAAGAGAAATCAATGTCAACTCCACATTTCCGAGTAGTATAAGGGCACAGTAATAAACTTGTCTATTTTAAAGAGATTTTAGTGGAAGTCATTAATGATTCAGGGTTACTGTAAAAATGTACCCAAAAAGTGCAAAATCGCAATTTTCAAAGACAATTAAATATCATCTGACACTGCATTTGGGTGCTAATGAGAAGGTATGAGTATCAAATGTATTTCCTAATGTAAAAAATGTTTATACAACCAATTTGATACTTTAACAACACTGCGCTACAGAGAGTAAGTGGTTATTTCTGAAAAAGCATGTATTTTTAGGAGAAAAAAATGAATTTAAGGGCCACTATAATCTGAAGATTTTGAGCTTAGTAACAAACAGAAAAAAAAAAAAAATAAAGAAAGTCTCGATCACACACTATAATGTAAGAAATTATTCAACCTTACCTTACTAGCTTTTCTTAACAAGTATCTGATAAAAATTACAATAATATCAAAGTGCGTAGTTCATGAAAGATGTGTACATATAATGAATAATTAATACCATGAATAATTATCATAATCTTTCCAGAAATTAACTGACTTTTCTCACTAATAAAGAGCCTACCAATTGCACCTCAAGAAAAATTGAACTGTTATTAAGATTGTAAAAGTATGTATCTCATAAATTGACAAATTTGAGTGATGATTCAATTTCCAGATCCTCAATAAAACATGCTGCATGGGATGCAATACTTGTATCTCAATGTCTGAAAAAAGAATTACAGGAAAACACAAACCGACTGAAGAAGCATTATGCATTGTAGTTATTGATGTTTCTTGATAAATGATTATTTTTTGAGAGATATCATTTTACCATTTTAATAATGCAACATGCAACTAAAAATTGTTGAAAATAGTGGAATCAATGCACAGACTGCTTTAATTAAAAGGGATATATCAATGATACAGACTACATTATACAATTGTTATTTTGTTGTTATTGTTGTTGAATTTTGTAGATAATATAAAAATATAATGTAAAAATGTTTAAAAAAAAATCTCTGTATGATGAAATGTAAAGTATAAAACATCATAAATAAACAACACATTTTCAAAAACAAGATGTATAAGGAAAAATTTATTTATTGCTTCCTTGAAAAACAATAGTTTAATTCACATATGTGAACTAATTACAAACATTTTTTTTATCATATACACATACATTCACTTAATTCGACAAACTAATTCTTTAATCATTAATCCAATCCCATCATATATTTCATGAAATTTGCCTTCAAACATAAATGCTGGAGTTGTTATTATGTTATTTTTGGTATCAACCGCGATTTCATCCACATTCTGAAACAAAAATTTTAGTTTTTAAACATGTTTTTCAGAAATTTTAATCATAATTAATAAAATCTCCAGGAGCATTTGTTCCTCAAAATGCCACTGTCATATATCCAACAAATATGCATTTTTTCATTGTTGAAAAGTAGTTATTTTACACCCCTGTAAATGATTCACATACCAATAGGGGTAAATCAATTATCCCAAATTACGTTTTACCATTCTTTATTGTTTATAATTCCTTTACAGTTTCAATATCTTGAATAGTTGTTACTTAGTTAACTATCTGAAATAGTATCTTAATTGAAAGACAGATTTTTCACAAGTTGCCAGTAGGTTATGTGAATGGGGACATCGGTGGACATGTGAACTTGACTTCGAAGTTTTATTTATTTTTTTTATTATTTTTTTTTAACTTGATTGGCCATAATGGACCACTTGAGTTGTTCCACTTCACTTACTGTTCACGGTCGACTGTCGAAGGTTTTCACCTTGAGGTGAGGATAAATCCTCGAGTTACAATTCTGAATGTTATTCAGAAAGGTGATAATGAGAGATGGAGGATGATGGATGATAGGGGGTGAAAGGACGAACACAAAACAACCGTGCCCGAGGCGGGACTCGAACCCGCGATCTTTCGGTACGAGATCGCTACGGCACTACTGCCTTAGCGATCTCGGCCACCGGATCGGCATAGTTATATTATTATTATTGTTAAAACTTACAAAAAGAGAATCAATAACTTGTATGCAGGCATGCATGTATGTATGTACATGTGTGTATGTGTGTGCATGTGTGTGAATCCTACTTAGAACTCTCGTGAATCTCTTCTAGAACTACCCCTATCTATACATCTTTTTTTGTGGGGGCGAGGGTCAATAAAAACTATGAATTTGTTAGGATTTCAAATAAAGTCATCAAAAAACTTATAAGCATACTTCAATTCAGGCTTTATTGAGTAAACATGTTTGTTTTGTTTTTTTGTACACATTTTTGGTAATCATAACCCTCACTTCTAGAAATGCAGACAATTGAAAAGAAAATGCGCTTTATCTACACACATCTCCTAACCAAATAAGCAATCTATGCCTTAAGTTCATGAGGCACGTGCATTATAATTTATTAAATCTGAGAACCAAGATGAATAGTTATGACAGTGTTAATAACCTCTAACTCTTACCACAATAACTGGAGTACCATGTTCTAAGACTCAAAGTTAAATGTGGAGAAAGAAGTCAGTTATCATGTTCAACCCAAAGCAAAATTTTTTCTTTAACCCTCTGACAGGAGCGCCATTGGTACTAGCAATACCAGTCTCGTCTTTTTTTTTTTTTTTTTTTTCTGTTGAAAACATACAAATTAATTTCCATTGAGAAATAACATAATTAGTTTACTCCATAGTATAATTGGCTATAAGTAGTTGACTTTTGGACTTTTGACAACACCAAATTTCATGCACAAGTCACTGCTAAATTAATTTACTACAGACAGCATTTGAGAAAGAATCAGCCTTCCTTTGCATTCAATTTATAATTGTCCATATTGAATTAGTGATCTTCCATCACCATAGAGTTTGTAACCAATCAAATTGTGATAATTGATCAGAGCATGATCAAACTAAAGCAAAACAACAAAGGGGATAGTGAATATGCATGATATATCCCTCTTAAATCTGACACTTACTTGTCTCTACTTCTTTCTCCCAGCTGTGTATTAGTATCTTGTATAAGTATAGGTATAAATATAGTTAGTAAGAATAAGTATATTATTTCAGCTTAACTTTCTCTCAAAAAAACACTTCACCTGAACTTTGTGGAAAACATGCACTCAATGGAGGTTGCAAAACATCCTTTCACAACCTCGGCAGTAACATGCCCAAGACCTATCCTCACCCATGTCCCTCTTCCAACCTCCAAGGAACCTTTTACCCAAATATTATTATTCTTTTTTTCTGCTTTACTGAACATTGATTATCTCATAATCAACTAAACACACTCCAAATTCCTAGTTTTATCTTGCAGGATTGTATCGTAGAGTGATGGAATCAAATACGGATCCTGCTTATGTAGGGTTCATGAATTTACGTAAGAAATGATATTGATTCTATGTTCTTTCAGAATTCAACTTAGATACAGTTGAAAATGTTTTTGCAATTTCAGTCGCACATCTTACTATGCTCAAATTATCTTACTTTAAGTGTAAACAGACCTCCAACAAACCAAGCTCTACATTATTTCAGTTCCTTAGTAAATCTAGAGAAAACTAAATTAAATTAGTAATTGCTCTTTTGAATCCATTGTTGTATGTAGATGCACACATGCAGGGGGAAACCATGACTCTCACACTGTAGTTCAGTTACAGACCTAGTCCGAGCTGATTGATGGGGTGGGTTAGCTCTCAATCACCCGTCTAGAAGAATCTGAGGCCAAAGAAAGTGTGTTGGGACCTACAAGGTGCAGAGACCTACCCTCAGTCACCAAGGCCTACTGGATCCAGAGTACCTACCCACAAGGATCTAGTGTCAAGGTGACAGTAAGGAATGCATACACAGACCCCTCAACCAAGGAGGTTGCCTCCTTGCCTCAACCCCCAGGATACCCATTCCCTTAAACACAGGTCGACATACACAGCAAACACATGGATGGGTGTTCAGCATACAGAGACGGCCAGAGAGAAAGAAAAAAGGGGTGATTAAAGAATGTAGATGTCGTGAAATGAAAAGCAAAAGAATGAAAGAAGGAGAAAGAAAAAATGAGAACCTTTTCTGCAACCCTCCGTCAGGACGTGGAACAACCCACCACGACAGGTTAAGATTCAATATTGTCGTTGGCAGGTCATTCTACGAGTTTTATCTCTCGAAGTTCTACGAGTAGGTCTGCAAACCTTCAGGAGAATTTAGGAAATTAATATAATTTTTAGTTTGGAAACAAATATAATTGTAAACACAGAAGTGAAGAGAGGAAGCGATACGGGATCTGACAATTACTGGGTAGTTTCACTCAAGAGGCTATGCACTAAAAGGAAGGAAATAAAAATGGAAGAACCAGGAAGGAATGAAGAGGTTTTTAAAGAATGTCTTTTACACAATGAAAGTGTAAAACAGATGTAGCAAAATAGAATTAATACTCAGCTTCAGAATATTGCCACAAGTGACTATGTAGAAAAGAATGGCAAAACACAAAAACTATTTTGAGTCAGACAGCAATGGAAGCAGTAAGGTTAAAAACAGATTTAGGAAAAAAAAAAAAAAGGTCTTCGGATATGGTCTGGAGAAATAGAGAAAGCATTAGACTTCAAACAAGAAAAATATAGAACATATTTGGAACACAAAGAGAGGAAACCATAAATACCAAAGGGCTAGAAACGCAGGAAAATCTATTATAAGAAATATGCACCAAGATACATTGTACAGGTTTATAGGAAGCATTGAATATGATGTTCGTGGTTTAAGTCTCTAGCATATAAAGTAATGAAGTCACTAAACAGAGAGAATGACAACATCCATATTGGCACAATAGATGAAAGTGTTTGGACAGAACATTACAAAACATTGTGGAATGAGAAAAATATGCAAGAAACTAGTAACGAAGTATCTGCCGAAACAGACTGCCCGACTTTATAAGAGTTGAAGAACCCTAAAAAACATGAAAAAACAGAAAGCACCACGAGTGAAATACTGAACTTTTGAAATAGTATGCTGAAATTGTATTACATTTACCCCTTACATTTTTATAATGTGTTGGAAAAACATGAAGTTCCTCAAGAATGGCTCCAAGCAAAAATAACATCAGTCTTTAAAATTGGAAATTAATTGGAAAGCAATAATTACTGAGGAATAAGCCTCTTAGATGCAACATATAAACTATATGCTAGAATGTAAACAACTATTTGAAAGCCATATCAGATTCACTTATATATGAAGGGCAAGTAGGTTTTAGGGAAGGGCAAGCTTGCATAGATGCCCTATTCGCAATAAACAGAATAACTGAAGAAAGAACAGAGTTTAACTGTGAAACACATTTGACATTCAGAGATCTCAAGAAGACTTTGGCAATGTGAACAAAATATTGCTTTGAAGAAATCTTAAAAAAGGATAAATCCAAATCAACTAATAGGAACTATTAAATGACTATGAACTGGAATCACAGTGTGCTTAGATATAAATAGTAAGTTAATGGCAGAAATTTACACAAATAAAGGAGTGAGACAATATTGCAGCCTCCCGACAATAATTTTCATTATTTATATGGCTGACATGTTCTAAGCACGGAAGATAAGGGTAGATAAAGAAATTGATCTAGGAAAATGTTCATTTTATCTTCATATGCTATGCTGATGACAAAGTTGCCTGGCAAGATGGTGAAGACAAGCTACAATACATTGTGCATTATTTATATAATATTGGAGAACTACAATTTTAAAATTTCAACCAAGATAAAAACAATGGCTTTATTAATTTTTAATTGTAGAACAGGTGAAGAATGTTAAGTACTTATGTGTGCTTTGTTATGTACGAAAAAGTTTTGGATTTAGAAGATAAATTAAATAAGTTTATAAATACAAGTGAAAACATTCACAGGTATGTAAAAAATAAAACATATTATGACACAAGAATAAAGTTCTTGAAGACTAATGCTGTTTACATACTTTCCAGTAGTAATGATTCAAAAATAATCTTGGAAAGAGACAAAAGTAGAATTCTGGTGGCAGATATGAAATTTTTACGAAGCAGTCAAGGATACACTCTTTTAGATAAAAAAAAAGGAATGTGGGTACAAGAAACAAGTTAATGCCACACCTGTGTTAGATAAAATATCTACTAAGAAGAAAAACAAATGGTGTGAACATTAGGAAAGGATGCCAAATGAGAAATTACCTACACTAGGTTTTCAATATATCCCACAGGAAAGGAGAGATGTAGGTAGGCCAAAGAGAAAGAGGACTCCAAAACAGGTGTCTAATCCTAATCCTTGTTGGTAAAAGGATTGGATCATATATTCTCAAGTGCTGGATGCACATATTCTCATCAATGTAATAATTTATACAAGTCACCGGTAATGTAAATATTGACCACGTGAGATGTCAAAAAAGTACAATTGTGTAAAAGAATAGCGTAGAAAAAATAATGGAGCAAAATTGCATTTATGTTGTCTGTCGCAGTACGTTTAGGACTACCCTAACAAAAGATTTTATTTTAAATGGGAACCGTTTTTGAGAAATTCTTGTTTAGATATTTCTTAATATTGCGCATATGTCATACAATATGGGTGAGTTGAATATATTTCAAATAAAATATCTCCTACATCTTACATACAGTTTATAGTGTTTTATTTATTCTTGGGTGCATTACTTTTTGTGTAAAATATTGTTAGTGTAATACTCATCTAAAATTTGAACCTTGAAATGGTTATTTTTCATCAGTTGGCATATTCTATTTTGCTATATTCTATTTCTTGCTTACCAAGAAAAAATTCACGCCACGTCACTGGTTCTGATAACTTTACCGGAAAATATGCAGAATACTTCACAATTTAAAGGAATATAATGCTTATTGAGATAACAGAAATGATATGCACTATAATATCAAGATCAAATGTTTGGAAACTGTATGTCTTTTGCACATGGCATATGAGCACATCTTTCTGGCTTCAAGGGAGACATACACTTGTTTTTAAAACCGGAATATGAATATCCATCGAGAATACATGAACCAATATTTTTCTCACCTTGAACTCCATTTTTGCACCCATCTTCTCAGCCTGTTCGATTGCTCCTGAATGTGGCCAACATTCACCATCTATTTTCAAACAAAAGAATAGGCAGAAAATAATCAAAGAAAGTATATTAGTAATTTCTTCACCTCCAAGGAAAGGTTTATCCCTGAAGTACAAATAATATTGTATGTTTGATTTGTTGATTCAGAACATAAGGTCATTATACTTCAAATCCATTTGTTAAAAGTTGAACTTACAATTAACGTTATTGAGACAAGATGAGTATTATTAGTTTGCTTGTCTGCGAATTCTTGTCTTACAATGGCAAATATGATAGTTATAAGCAGGACACAAATGTGCTATGCCAAAAAACACAATACATAATACGGTAAAACCTGTTTAAGGCGGAACCTGGATAGGGCGGAAACTTTCCTTCGCTGGTCAAATTTCAGAACAAACTATTATTATTAAATACATACACTTGATAAGCCAGAAACCTGCATAACGCGGAAACGGAAAGGAATTTTTAGTACAACAGTATTAAAAATTCTGGATAAGACTGAAACACATATTGTTTTAAAATTAAACATTGACTTGCAAAGGTGGTGACATCGGACCACTAGACAGCCGTGCTCGTCCATTTCTCAGCTACCGTCATCCAAAATCGTATGTTACACGCTATTCGTGCGAAAGCCACTGTTTATTTGCACTGTTTATTTGTTATAGCATTGACCTTCGCAAGTCCGTGTGAAGGAAGGAGAGAAGCGATCTTTTCACGGTTCTTGCAACATGTACTTTGGATTGTGGTTCTAAACGTTTACTGTTGTTCAGTTCGACAAGTAGCAGGTTTTGTGTAAATCAAGTGTTTATGATGTCAGGACACAAATTGAACATGTTAACACTTGGTGAGAAAATTAGACTAATTGAAGAACACGAACAATAGAACACTTGTCAAGGTTTTGGTAAAGAAATTTGAAGTTCGGAAAAGATAAGCGTATAACAACTTAAAAACAAAGACAAAATTAAGAATGGTAGTTAAAAGATTTTTTATAGGCGATTGCCACAATGTTCACGAGAACCTAAGCAAATAGCCGAAGCTTAAATCATCAGATGAATTCATCTGTTTCTACAAAAAAATGAAGAAAATATATTTTAATTTTTATGGATTTCTTAGTTTCACTAGACTTCGTGTTTCGTTTCTGTATGCCATTTTCTTTTTCGAGACGTCTCCATTTCTTTGAAATGTAGTTATTTTGAGGGATAAATAACTCATACAACGTATGTCATCTCTGAACGATTCTGTTTTCTGAACTGACAGTTTTTATTTCATACCTGAATAAGCCGGAAACCAATACAAAACGTTGGATCCAAACGATTCCGGCTTTGACAGGTTTCACGGTAAAATCCAGAATTTCAAGAACTTGAGAGCAATCACTGTTTATCCAAAATTGTAAAAACTATGCGACAAATGGAAGAAATATAGCTGCATTGAATGTTCAGAAGCAAAGCAAAATTATTGGGAAATGTTCGTATTGGCTCTGTATTCGCTCAGCAGATCAAGGTAAAAATGGACGAAAATCTGAACAAAATGGGGGCCATGGGTTGATTATAATATAATAAATGCTTCGGTTACGGCGGTACGGGTATTTAACTACCAAAAGCGAAAACTACATTTTTTTTAAAAAAAATCCATCTTGAAAAATTTAATATGTAAGAAAAGACCAAGAAAAGTCCATTTGGAATATAGTAGTTGTAGGAAGAAACTGGAAAAAATCGCCTACGCCATTTTCACCTGCCATTTTTGTAAGCGGCCATTGCTGAGAGATTAAATTTAAAGAAAAAAATGGCCATTTTCGAGAACATTTTGAAAATGTCCTTTTGCTTCAAGTACCCACAAAAAGCAATATCACCGTTTCTAATTAAGGGGAGCTATGAAGATCGATCCGGAAATGCCAATTTTGGTGAAAATCCTATCTATGGTTTAGCCGCTAGCGTTGTACACAGACAGTCGGGTGAACGTTTTACCGCAAACCAATGTTTCGATACCAAGTACCCAGAACTGGGTAGTGCACTATGCTACGCGAATAGTATACGAGAAAGTAAAAATGACGGTTATTTTGGCGTGTCACTTTTCTTGTGCTCCAACGATAGGAAATGGAAATCGTTGAAGACATTCAAATGCATGAATATACACATAGTACGATATTTCTTACCTTTTTTTCCCAATGTCAGAACAACATTTCCCAGTATCTTGGCCGCTAAAACAGGAGCAATACAGCACAATCCAATAGGTTTCCTGGCTTTATGGAATTCCTTCAGAACTCTCGTAACATCATCATTAACGGAACAATCGGCTCCTTTCAATGCAAAGTCACTCCTGAACAAACATAACCACAGAAAAAATAACATTTATCGTGTAAATCATATTT